CCTCCCCAGAATTCCAGGGGGAGGAATCAAAACGGGAAAGGGACAATCCCGGATGGTTTCCGCGGCTTTTCCGGGATCTCCGCTTGTTTTTTAACTTCCCCGGAATCCGGGATTCCTCCTTTTCCTTTCGTATCCGTGTCCGGTGTCAAGGAGTCTCCTCCTCATCCTGGAGCCTCCTGATTCCATCAGAGCTCCACCAAAATTCCCTGACGGATCCATCCAGCGGCCTTTCCGCCCCTGAGGATCCCACGGGCCAAAGGGGGTGGGATTGGCCCCATCCATGGGATTTGGGCACCGCTCCGGATCAAAACTGCCGGAGGAGGGCGTGGAGGAGCTCCAAGGGCTCTGGATCCAGGCTGGGAGAGCTGGGAATGGCCAGGCTGGAGAAGGGAAGGATCCCGGGAGAGCTTGGAGCACATTCCAGAGCCTGAAGGGGCTCCAGGAGAGCTGGAGAGGGACTGGGGATCAGGGCCTGGAATGACAGGACCCAGGGAATGGATCCAAGTGGGAAAGGGGAGATTTGGGGGGGAGATTGGGAAGGGATTCCTGGCTGGGAGGGGCTGGGCTGGAATTCCCGGAGAAGCTGTGGCTGCCCCTGGATCCCTGGGAGTGTCCAAGGCCGGGTTGGATTCCCTGGGATAGTGGGAGGTGCCGGGGTCGGAACTGGGTGATCTTTAAGCTCCCTTCCCACCCAAACCATTCCATGATTCCATGAAATCCCAGACCTGCAGCAGCACCGGTGGGTGCCCCCTCCCTCCCGAAGCCGCGGAACATTCCTGACCTTTATTCCCTTAATTTTTGATGTGTTTTCCTTTTTTTCTTGTTGTTTTTTTTTAATCCCCCTCTTTGTCCTCTCCACCTTCTCCCTTTGGGATCCCGTTTGGACACCGATGGGATACCGGGATGGGGGGGGGCAGGTTGGAAAATCCAGCCCCTCCTCTTCCCGTTAATTAATCCGGAGCCCAGCTGGCCCCGGCAGGTAACGAGGCGCTGATTGCAATTAGTGTAACGAACCTAACGAGCAGCACAGCCCTCCCTCCCTCCTGGAGCCCAGCTGGGGCTTCAGGGACAGCTTGGAAAAGCGATGGATTTTCCGGGGTCTCCTCGGTTTCCCGTGGCTGGAAGTTGTTCTGATTTATTATTATTATTATTATTATTATTATTATTATTATTATTATTATTATTATTATTATTTCGTTATCCAAGCCTTTCCCGTCTTTTCCCACCCTTCTGGAAAACAAGTTGGCTGCTGGAATTGTCCGTGGGTTGTTCCCGTGAGTCGGGAACACAACAGGGATGATGGGAATGTTAGAATTCCCGCCTTTCCTCTGGATTGGAACATCCCTAGGGATGATCCTTAGTCCACAGGACATGGATTGATGTTCCTCTTCCCGTCTTTACCCTTCCATTTGGAAAACAAGTTGGCTGCTGGAATAATCCCTGGGATAAAGGGGGGTGATTGGGTTGTGTCAGGAACATGACAGGGATGATGGGAATGTTAGAATTCCCACCTTTCCTCTGGATTGGAAGGTCCCTAGGGATGATCCTTAGTCCAAAGGACATGGATGGGTGTTCCTTTCCCTTCCATTTGGAAAACAAGTTGGCTGCTGGAATTTTCCCTGGGATAAAGGGGAGTGAGGGGTTATGCATTGGGAACACCGTAGGGATAATAGGAATGTCAAAAATTCCCACCTTCCCTCTGGATTGGCACCTTCCTAGGGATGATCCTTAGTCCGAAGGACTTGGATGGATGTTCCTTTCCCACCCATTTGGAAAACGAGCTGGCTGCTGGAATTTTCCCTGGGATGAAGGGGAGTGACTGGGTTGTGCCTTGGGAACAAATCGCGGAGCGGCTCCGGCAAAGCCTGCTGGTTTCCCGGGAAAGCTCCATCCCTGGATTTAACCCCTTCCATGAGGGCCTTGGGACACCTGGAGCCCCATTCCCATGATTTTGGGGTGGAGTTGGTCCCTCCAAGGGCATCAAGGCCCAACCCTTGAGGACCCTCCAAGGCGGAGCTTCCAAGCTCAGCCTGAATTGTCTCTTCCTTGCCTTTATTCGGCTTAAACCTGGATTTATCCGCTTAAACCTTTGGAATTCCCGATTAATGGGCACCAGGATGTGGGAATGCTCCGGTGCTCCAACCCTCAGCCCTTCCTGGGCGGCTCAGACCTCTCCTCTAGGCCGGGTTTAACCAACCAGGCCGGGTTTAACCCCGTTGATCGCGGCCTAAGGACGAGGGGGAAGAACGTCCCTGCGCCGGGGAAGGGGAGGGAACCGGGAGATTCCCAAGGGATTGGCACGGTGGGAAGATCTGCCGGGAGAGGGGGTTTGGGAAGGCGGGAAGGGCTTCGTGGGAAGGTGTCGGGAGATGAGTCAGTTCGTCAGCTCTAATTAAAGGCCGGGCTTTAATTAGGGGGAGGGAGGAGGGGAGGGTGAGTCAGAGGAAGAGGGGGGAGATGGAGGAGAAGGAGAGGAGAAGGAAACCCACCCGGATCCATCCCAGATTCCGGAACAACTCCCTGGGATGGGCTGGGGGTGAAATGGG